GAAGCTCCGCCATAGCCACCACCAAACAATTGAGTTATTTTTACACATCTGCCAGCATCTGGCCAATCCACCACCTTTCATTGTTTATACCGTTACTACAAAAAAAAAAAAAATCAAAAATCATCGGCCCATAAAAACGAAAAATCACCATTTGCCCGGTGGGCCGATGGCCAGTCTATGGTTCTGACCTGCTGTTTGCAAGAATTGGCCAATCAGAAGAAAGTTGGCAAGGGATTGGAATGCATTGAGGACTTATATATAGATGACAAATTTGTGTCTTTCCTTCAACTTCAACAAAAGTTTCAGTTACCTCAATCACATTTTTTTCGTTATCTTCAAATAAGGAATTTTGTTTGACGAAACTTTTTAGACTTTCCACTGAAGCCACTAAGTTATACTTACTTTGATATAATTCGGAAAGCAGATTTTAAACATCTGATATCTCAGTTTGTCAAGTGCTTTACAATCCCAGTTGATTCTGATCGAATTAAGAGTACATGGGCTGACCTCGGTGTTCCTCTGTCTGAGGACCAATGATCAAACTGTTTGTCCAATATTCAGAAAGGCTCAATAAACGCCAGATATAAATTAATCCAGTTTAAAGTCATTCACAGATTACATTTTTCTAAACTTAAACTTAACCGGATCTATAATTCTGTATCTTCCTCATGTGATAGGTGTAATATCTGTGAAGGTTCCCTTGCACATCTATTTTGGCATTGCCCTGTCTTGAAAACTTTTTGGAGCCAAATTTTTACGTGGTTTTCAAACCAATTTAGGAAAAAAGTACCACTTCATGGTACACTGGCTATACTTGGATCATTTGCATCAATCGAATCTTTTTCTTTTTCACAAAAACAGATAATTACAATGGGTATGCTGGTGGCAAAGAAACGTGTTCTTTTACAGTGGCGGTCTTCTTCGGCCCCGTGTTTTAAAAGGTGGCTTAATGAGATGGTGTCTGTGGCCAGGGGGGAACAGATAAGATTTGATAGAAAGGGGAAACTGGTGAGTTTTTGTACGATTTGGCAGCCATTTCTAGAATTCTTAAAAATTAACTGATCATAATTCATGCCTCACACCCCGCATGAATTTTCTTATTTTATTTTATTTTACTCTTTATTTAGTTAATATTGCTATAATTTTTTTCTTCCTCTTTTTTCTCCTTTTTTTCTTCTTTTTTTCCATGCTTATAAGTTCACAACTGCTAAATGTAGTAATTGTCAGTTAAATCTGTATAAACATGCTGTGTTTAATTTAAAAGCAAAAAATAAAATAATTTTTTTAAAAAAGAAGAAAGTTGGCTTACATGAGAGTAGCTACAAGACATTAGATGAACCACGTGCTTTGACGCTTAATCATGCAAAGTGAAGTAGAGCATAAACATACTGAGAACAAAGGCACCAATAAGTCATCAATAAGTTAGAGGTTTAGACAAAAAAGATCAGTTATTAATGTGTTCTGAATTAAAAGCTACAACCAAGTTCAGTTAGCTTTTTTCATTATTTGTTTACTGTGTGTTTTAGTAGGCTTTAGAGTTGTTTGTTGGCAGTTTAGCCTTAAGACACATGTCAGCGGTTTCTTGTCAGAGGATAAAACCACGTGACCAACCTGTCTAAAATGTCCAGTCCAATAACAAATAAAATAGTTTTCAGAAAAGCTTCTGAACGACTTATAATTGATACAGAACACTCACACATAAAATGTTAAGTCCCTATACTTATATTTAATTAGTTACATTTCTATGAATTTTATGCCCAGCAATATTCTTTTCTTTAAAGAGTTTCATTTCAGAGCTTTAATTCTGAAGTCACACTTCGAATATTTCTGGTGAAATTTTGGCACGGTCTGTTTGACTTGATGCGCCCTTGCACAGAGAGATGCGGCGACTGTGGTGCGCGCGCATAACGTCAGAGCTGAAGATGTTTAGTCAAATCGCGTTAGTTAAGTAGCACCATACCGGATGTTAATCGAAATTACCGACAAAATAAAACACATGCTAGGTTTCAACGTTTAAATGTGATATTCTGTATTTGTAATGTACTACTACTAATAATGATAATAATAATAATATGATTGTGCCTTGGTTTGTTACATAATGCTAAACTTTTCAAATTATTGTGTTATTTTTTTGACTTTCATTATTTTGCTTGAAACATTCTTTTCCTGCTTCATTTCATTTAAATAAAGAAGTTGGGTATTGGTAGTTTAACATTTTCTGATGGTTATGAATAATAATAATGGATTGCATTTATATAGTGCTTTTCGAAACCCTCAAAGCGCTTTTACAATTCCACTATTCATTCACAATAGTGGAGGCAAGCTACAGTTGTGGCCACAGCTGCACTGGGGCAGACTGACAGAAGCGAGGCTGCCATATCGCGCCATCGGCCCCTCTGACCATCACCAGTAGGCGGCAGGTGAAGTCTCTTGCCCAAGCACACAACGACCGAAACTGTCCGAGCCGGGGCTCGAACCGGCAACCTTCTGATTACAAGACGAACTGCCAACTCTTGAGCCACGATCGCCCACGATCGAATGTGTGGTTGAAGGCTTCCAGGCAGAAGACTTTATTTTTAAATTAATTTTACTTCTTTATTTCTTGTTTTAATTTATTAATTTATTTATTGTTAGATTTTTTTTAAGTTGTGTTGATTTATAAACATTTTCTTTAAAAAAATTCAGTAGCCTTAAAAACAAAACAAAAAACCCTCATTTTGGAAGCATCGCGTGTCATGAATGTCTAAAAAGCGGGAAAGCTGTTAAAACGAATCACTAGGAACGACTAAAACTAGCATTTATTTTGAGCGGCGTGACCGGAAATGCCGCCCTTTATCGTCGCCGCCTTCACCCAGCTTCCAGCAAACACACAGCATCTCTTGGCGAACATGGCGGCAACTTGACAACGGCAGCGAGCTGAGGATGGTGAGGGCTTGAAAAAGAAAAAAGAGGTCTGTCACAGGCTGTAGGCCCATCCGCCGACACAAAGGCATACAGCTTCGCCATGTTGGAAGAGGATAGCGCCTTTGTCCCTGCACGACCGAGGCCGGGGGAAACGTAAACGCGTCGGGAAGTGTTTCTAAAAACGGAGTCGAGGCTACGCAGAGGAGCGGAGCGGCGCGGCGCGGAGGAGAGCTCGGGGCGGGCAGGCGGGAGGACAGCGGCTTCACCGGTCAGCCATGGAGGATGCGGCCCGTGGTCGCCAGCGTTTGATTTCCCAACCGACCCACGCTCCTTTTAATGGGAATTACCGCTGATAGCAAAGGCAAGCCGGGACAACCCACCGCCCGACACTTGAGGGGAGGAAAACGCGAAGCGGACCCGACGTCAATGACTGTTGCGGCAGAGGAGCCCCCACGGTGGAGTCGGCCGGTTCCCAAAATATGACCAGGGGTGCTGGGACGTGTTGGCAGCAAGAAGATGACGACGGCTTCCAAATCTGGCTAGAGCCCCCCCGCGACAACCAAAAGCCATTCACCGACTCAGAGAGGGCGCAGAGATGGCGACTGTCCTTGGCATCCCTCTTGTTCTTAACCATCCTCCTCTCTGATCACCTGTGGTTCTGCGCCGAGGCCACGCTGGCCCGGACCCGGGACAAGTTCGCATCCACCCACCCTTTGTCACCTCAGACATACTCAGCACACAGCAGCCTCAGAGGAAACCCAGATGATATTTTTATAGGAAACTCTACCAAACATTTGTGGCGGCTCGAAACTTGCCACCGGGATAGTTTATCTAACGACTGCTTTACTTTCTTGGATGCCGACGAGTTGTGCAGGGGCCTTTCCGACAGAGAGGGGACGCGGGCTGTAAATATGAGCAATTTGTACCTTTCCTTTTGTAACTCCTACTCCCTGCTGGATTTGTTGTACGGCTCGACGAGTCCGGACAATTTGAACTGCAGCCTCGACGCGCTCGGCGACGGCGACGCGAACCGCTGCAGTCTGTGCGTCCAGGCGTACCAGCGCTACGACCAGCACGCCCAGGAGAAATACGAGGACTTTGAGCTCCTCAGTCAAAAATACGAGCCGGGGGCATATTCGGTGAGGACGTGCATGGAGCAGTGCAAGGTAGGCTGCAAACAAACAAATAAAACCTGCAAGAAAAGAGATGAAAAAACAAACAAACAAAAGGGATGGGGTGGGAGGGTGTTGGGGAGAGGGGGGTGATGTGGTGGTGGCCATCTGTTGATTTGGGCCCGGATAGATGCCAGTTTTGTGGTCCTCCTCCTCCTCCTCCTCCTCTTGTCGCCATGGAGACGGATGACAGATTCAAGGAGACTCCCGGCTCCGGGCCTCATGTTCATTCATCTCCTCATCGTGTTTAGGCCCCATGCTAATGTGCAGATGGAGGCCCTACTCGTGTGTGTGCGCGCCCCATCCCCACAGGCCTCCCTTTTACAAGCTTGTGCACTTCATAATACCGGAGAACGCATATGGTTAAGTAAGACCACTGGATAATTTAATGCAGTGGTCCACTTTACCCACCCCTCCAAAAAAAAGTGTCTGCTCTTTAAATGTACAGGTGCCCTTGTAGCTCACCTGGTTGAGCAGGTGGCTCAGTCCGCTGCTGATCGTTGTCTTCTGGTCTCCCTTATTGGCTCCCCTGAGGAAACACACATTTAATGAGTCCTGCGTTTTCTAACAGCCCAGGTTGTCTTTGTCTGTTAATCAGTTGAAATCAAAATCGCATGCGTCTTTGGAACTACACAGCAATATTTTACTACTTGAAGTCTAGAAGTGCTTTAAATTTCCAGATGCTGCCAGCATGTTTAGCAGCTCATTTGACCAAAAAATTGGAGTAATTATGTACCAGCCATCAAGCAGGGCCAGATCAGACCCTTCCTCGGCCCTTTTTTGGCCACTGTGCCACATGCTTGACACTCCAGTTTTATGGCCTTCTAACAGTTTAATGATCAGGAATGAGGCAGGCACCTTATGCAAACAACTCTAGGATCCCCGTGTGTGTGTTTGTGTGTTGCTGCAGTCTGCCAGGTGTTCACCACCACTGCCCCACTCCATATCAAGAGTGTTTCATTACAGTCAAGAGGTGGTTTCCCTGCCTAATGTGCCGGAAGTCTCCTTCCCGCTGCTGTTTGCTTATCTCCATATCCGCGCACACACACACACACACACACACACACACACACACACACACACACACACACACACACACACAAGCAAACGGCCTCGCGTTGGCTCCACTGTTTGATCGTTTACCATCTCCTGACAGAGCACGGCGAGGTTAATGTGGGCTGTAATGGGTGCCCGGTTAAGAGCTGCCTCTGACAGTCAGTCGGTTCAGCACCATGGAGCTGTCCACAGTGCTGAATGGCGCTTCCCAGCTCCATTCACAGAAGCCCTGGCCAATCCCAGATGGCCTCCATTCACCCAACCAGCGGCAGAGACACAAGCACAGGCGTCAAGTGAAAAATCTAACCAGGCCATCTGCCTGCTTATACAGACCCGATGTGTGGCATGCACAGGAGCGGGGCCTAGTTTGGAAAAAGTAGCTAGGATCTAGGGGAAGGAAATGTGAAAAGGCAAACCAAATCACTTTTGTGTGCATTTGCAGTCAGCAAACTATGATTCACTTTCTTCTTTATGTCTCTGTTCTATTGAATGTCTTAATGCTGGTAAAGACAGCAGCCTTTTTTAGGTACGATAATGCATATTGTTGCATATAAACACTCTGATTCTTTGAGTGCAGAAAGGCGTTGGAGGAAGCTGCTCTTGAATTTATCTCCTGCACAACAGTGGATCAGGATTTATTTTCTTTCTTGACAGTTTTGCTGTCAGTGTTTAAAGCCAGGCTCCATATTCAGTCTGCAGTTACAAGTCTCTTTATATTTGGAGTATTTGTGTGATCTCGATACATATTTGGATTAGCTACAAAAATACATACAAAAAATGCATCTGATAGATTTTTTTTGCTGAGCAAGACACTTAAAGACACCTTGGGTGTTTTTTGGATAAAAGTCACAAGTAGCACAGAGATCAATTCCAAGTCTCAAAGCCTGTATCAGAGGCTAGTTTATGACAATATAAGAACAAACTGAATGGATTTATTGTTCTGCTTAGTGTTTAGGATCAACAAAGGCTACACACAATTGTGTGACAACAAGCTTCTCGAGGTTAACCACACTGGAATGTGATGCAGTTAAAATATATTTGAGCAGTTTGTATAAACAGATGTACAAATGTGCAATAAATGCAAAATCATATACAGAATAACATTCTGACCCTGTGCAGCCAACCGAGTCTATACAAGTGAGCAAAATGCACAATGTTTAAATTGAATGGCATCAAATTTAATCTGTGAAATGGGCATCCATAAAATGAAAATCCCAGTAGGTGGTTATTATAATAGGCTACAGGAAGCAGCTCAACATTCATTCTTCAATTCTTCAATTTCTAGTGTATGAATCCAAAATGCTCTTCTTTTTAACAGTAATCTGTCTGCATTCCCACCACTTTTAGGAGTAATTGTAACCACTATTTCTATTTCTGTATGTATGTTAAGTAAATGTACCAGGGTACACTGAAAATTTTACAATGTGTGAAAATTTAACCATTCACACATGGGTAATAACTTAGTTATGTAAAATTATACTGTTCTTGACTCTTAACAGCCAGTGGAGTGACTTTTCTACAAAGGATTCAGGTCGAACTTCCAAAGGATGCAAAACTTATGCTCATTACTAAGTGCCCTGCTGCACTGCCTCTTTGTTGATGCCAGCATCAACAGTGAGCGTTACTAGCTAATAGGGGTGGGGGAAAAAATCGATACTGTGTAGTAT